CGACAGTTAAACAGGGCGCGCGCAGCTCTTAAAGGGGCCATACCTTATTTCCACTCGTTACAGCATCCATCCTACTGAACAGGTACCGGTGTACAGGGGGAGGGGATCCGGCCGTGAGTGCGAGCCATCTCTGCGTGAGTGCTATTCACGACAGTACAAGTACTCCACAGCGACTCTAGGGGTCGCTGTTTGACAAAAACGGAATTCCTACTCAGTGCTGCTTTAATGTTCTTAACATTCTGACAGTCTTCTCTCAAAGTTTACATTTAAAGTCCCCCTCTAGTGAAAATCAATCCATTTTTATGTTGTTTAAATAATATTATGTCTATGTGGTGTTTAATGTGTTTGGTGTTTAATGTGCTTTAAGACAAACCATGTGCAAATTCATAAGTCAACACCATTGCTGATTATTTTCTCCTGCAGTCTCAAAAACGCGGTTTGAAATCGATAAATTGAGAGAGAGTGGAGGTGGGGCAAATAGCACAGACCACAACGGAAACGTTTCCAGGTGACCCCAATAAGTGACGAACTCGGCTGGGACATGCTTATTGCTCGTGGGCATCCCTATGTCCTACTCCCTTCGAAGGGCAGACGGCAGAACCCTTGAAGTGGGACTTTGGAGTGAGCAGGGCACTTGTGTGCCATCATGTAGCCGTTTGGAACACACTTAATAATAATAATAATGATTATTTATTTCATTTTTAAATCATTTTTATTATTATTATTATTATCATGTAGCCGTTTGGAACGCACTTGCTGAAGGGAGCAACGAAAGACAAAATTTCCTCATTATTTTCACCTTGGATGTTCCCACGACAACGCAGCAGGGTGTCCATCACTTTCAGAAACCCTCCACCTTCCCCAGCTCCACCTGTTTAGATCTGCTACGGGTAATTCATGTATATTGTAAAGCAGCAGCAGCATGTCTTACTTACTCACAGCAGCGTGTCTTTTCTTCACAGCATTTATTAATCTAGGTTAAAGTAGGTTAATAAAAAGGCTCTAATTAATAAACACAAATTATAAAAAGTGTAATAAATTTTATTGTTCGTTGTAATTGATGTTTGTAAACTGGTGGTGAACATATTTAATTAGGCTTTTATTCACATATAAACATCGATCAACGCACACACAGAGCACATCAAAAATGGTTAGTGGAAGCTCAAACTTACTTATTTATTATTAAAGGGCATCACAAAATATTGCTTCAAAGCACCTTTGGTTAGGAAGCCATATGTGTAGCTATAAACAAAAATGACAACTCCATAAACAGAAGAATTAAAGTCACCGTGAAATCAAAATAATTTCTGATCAAACAATTCTTGTTTTTTTTTATGAAATATTGTAGTATTTTTTAATAATTTTTTTTTTTTTGCCCTCATAATCTTTAATCAAAATAACTTCCCCTCCTTTCTCTTCTCTGATGATGTGTTTACTGGCGTGAGGGCGGGGCAACCTGTCACTCACACGAGATCGACCAATAGCAAACCACAACCATCCAATCAATTCCCATTGGACAAAATCAAGTCTTTTTTTCTTGTTCAAGAAGCCATTTCACCCAGATATATGTCACAATAGAGAAGATAGAAAAGACTATCACGACTATTGCAACATGTCGACTTTAAAAATACAGGAGTCTGTCCAATCAGCCATTTGTTTCCTGTATCATCTCTTCGCCTTATTTCATGATATCCCAACTCCAGTTGGAGGATAAAGCAGCGTTAAGACCTGCTTGCATGGAATTAGTGTTCAATGAGAATGAAGGGTTATAAACAAAATCCTGACAGCTGTGTTGTGTTTGTCCAGGTGTGGATTCACTATGTACAGTTATTTCATCCTCCACAAGTTTGTCTGTGCAACAATATCTTCATCATATCCCCAGAGACAAGTGTGACTCATGACATATGGAGTATATATATGAAACAGGGTCCATGCGGCCTCTTTCATCCTCTTCACTGTGGCAGAAAATGGCATGTGGAAGAGTGAAGTATTGACCTCACAGTGAAGGTGTCAAGAGCACACAGTCTGACCTCATGCTGTCATTCGCCGCACTGAAAATAGCGAGGGAAGCTTGTTGTGTAGCGTAAGTAGAAGCTGCTCCAGAGGTCAATAGTCCTGGTTGTTTCCTTGCTTTTGTCCTCTCTTGTATAGTACATTACATCTGAAGATGGATCCGGGGAGATTTTCATGTTTTCACTTGAATAGTCCTAGGTGAAAATATATATACGACATGCACAGCACAACTATTTGCATTTAAAAAATGAAATGAAGTTGAAATTGCATCGTATGATGAGGCGGACATCAAGTTGGGGCAGAAAGAAACACACAATCATAATTTAAAGAGGACCTATTGTGCCCTTTTTCAAAGTCTTGATTTTTCTAGTCTCTTCTAGAATAGGTTTTCATGCTTGAATGTTCAAAAAACACATTATTTTTCCACATATTTGACATTGTTGCAGCTCCTCTCTCTTCCCAGTCTGTCAGTAACGCTCTGTTTAGTTCCTGTCTCTATGAAGCCCCTCCTTCCAAAAAGCGCAATGGGCTCTGATTGGCCGGCTGGGTCCGTGTGTTGTGATTGGTCAACCTTTTCAAGCATGTTTGGGAAATGTCACTCCCCTAGCATAACCGCAAATTTCAACACACAACTAACTAATTTTACGTATGCCTTGGGCGGGAATTATTTAGGAATATTGTGGCGTTTGCATTCCTGGAAGAAAACTTAAGACTGATAAAGAGAATAACTTCCTTTGTAATACAAAAAGCATATAGGTCCATTTAACATCAGTTAATCTTTAAAGCTGCACCACAGTTTATTTTTGCAAAGGCGGGCACAGAAAAACCTAATTAAAATAATAAGAACGTTACATTCTCTCATCCCCAGAAATCATTGGTAAACATAACACAAATCTACACAATTATTTTATTGTGCATTCATATTAGACTTCATTATCCATTCAAATTCATGTCTGTGTGTGTGACTCATCTCGTCTCTGTGATAAAAGCTGTGTCCTAGGAAAAAAGGTCAGGCCATGTGTCAAGGCAGAGCGGTGGCCTTGTTTTGCAATGAAAGAGTTATACCCAACATGGGCTCCTCCCAGTCTCCGAAAGGGCCGTGCATAAGATTTTAGAGCATAACTGCATGGAAAATCTGCTGTAATGACAGCCCAGGGCAAGGCTGTGTCTATTGTGCTTCTTGTTTACATGGCTTTGTGGAGATAATTGTATCAGAGGGAGGGAGAAAAAGCTTACAAACTGAATGGGGTCTTTGTTAGGCCAAGCTTCTCATTGTACTAAATGAGTTTTAGAGGAGTAAGTAGCCAGTCATGGCTAAATGATGAGCGAAAAGCATAATGATTACTTCCGCTAAGGTGGTACACAACCACACTTATAAAGAAACATGGTCTAACACAAAATGACAACACATGTAGCACTTCAGAGACAGCAAAGATGTAAATAAACAGAATAAAGTGTAAATTAATTATTAGATGTCTTGAGGAGGCAACTTGGACAAGTTGCTGAAAACATCTTTTCGACAAATGTCACAGAAGCAAACAGAATAAGAGTAAGAATAAGTCTGGTAGAGAAATATTTAAATAAATTAAATAGCTGTAATTTAGATATTTTAAGGAAGTATATCTGTATAGGTAAATCTTTAGCTTTATTAAGTATAACTTGAATCACAGAATTGATCAAATTTACTGCTAATAGCTTTTTATTATTATTATAATGCATTAAACAATAAACAGATAGAAAAGACAGGACTGATAGAACCTCTACAGGAATGAAATTACATCAAATCTTCATGTAAAGTTTCATAACACACAAAAAAAGATAACATTATATGATGTTTTATAAACAAGGTTCGGGAGGAGCACGTTCAAATAAATCATTCCAATCAACTCGTCACCAAACTATTACATGTCTACCCTATCAGCACGAGAGGAAGCATATATAAATATCCACTGTCAACTCACCTAACATTCCTTGACAGTTTCAGCATTTGGTCCCGCCCTTTTGCCACAATGTCAGAGATCGAACTCTACCCTTCCGATGACGACTCCTTCATCAGCCAGGCTCCATCTCAGCTCCCTATCACCGCTACGAGTTCCCAGGCTCAACAGGATACCGCTCCCGAACCTCCAGCTTCACGGCGCGGCCGCCGGCCTAGCCGAGCCGCCTCTCGTACCCCGAGGCGCCGTGGTTTGCCCTCACCTCCACCATCAAGACCTCCACCATCTCCAGCTTCCTCCTACACCTCAGCACAACCCAATATTCCGGCAATCGAGAAATAGACAGTGCTGGGGCTGAGACAAGCGCTAATCAGCGCTGACGTTCATTTTTCTAGGAGGATGAACAAATCGCAACTGTACAACTTGTATGTTTCTCTCCAGGCAGCTTTCCCTTCTCCGAAATCCACTCCACCTTCAAAAACAGCAAAAAAGGCAAGTAACAAAACATCAAACTCACGTTTTCAGAAAACTCCTTCTCCCGACGCCGCAGGGCCCAGTTCTACGCGAGCGCCAGGCCACAGCAGGCCTTCAGCTAGCCTGGGCCGCGCCCCAGATTCCGCCGCCGCCAGGCCCCACTCCTCTCTCCGCTCTGCTGAGCTACAGACCGCGGCGTTTTCCAGCACCGCACCTCACGCTACTTTGCCAGTTTCATGCGAAACAGGCCGCTCTTTAAACGTGAGTATGCCAACGCTTCAAGCCCAACCACCCCACCATCCTCCCGTAACTTTTTCCAACCCTTTTCCCTGTCCCTGGCCTGCAGTCCCACCGTCAGTCTCTAGCGCGAGGTTGCCTCAGCTAGAGCCGCAGGCCCACTCACACTTCCTACCTCTCCAGCTCTCTTCTCTCCCAACTTTTCCAGCTCCCCCCCAAGCTTTAGGGACCGACCCAAGTGTGAGGTTGCCTCCACAAACGGCTTCGGTCTCAGGCTTTTTCCCTCCTAATACTTTTCCCCAAAACCATTCTTCTTTCACCCTATTTTCCGCAACGCCGATGCCCATCCCGCCGAACGCTACAGCCATGGAACCGCCCCTCGTGACCAACAACATCAGAGCCCAGATACTCACAGGTGCGGATATTGATTTATCCTCTCTTCTATCTATCCTCCCTTCCTCTGTTTCAAATAGGCAAATCGATTGCGGCGATTTTGCAGTCACCTTGAAAAACCCAGTTCACAATTCATCCCGCATCCTGTCATTTTCCGAATTCGCAATTGCTTTCAGCCGGTATAGCGAAATCATTTGCGCCGCACTCCCCCACAGAAGACGAGAACTGAACGACTATCTCGCGATAATTGCAGAGCTCGCGTTGTCATATGGAGGAACACATTTTTACACTTACCACAAATTGTTCTCAGCAAAATGCGCCGTCCGTGTAGCTCAGTGGAACCAGTGCCCTTACTGGGGAGCCCTTGACACAGAGCTACACAACAGAGTGTTCTTAGGCTGCCGCAACATATCCTGCGCAGTTTGCAGATCCGTCTCTCATTCCACCACAGCTTGTCCTTTGATTAACCCCGAAAATCCTCCCCGCCCAGATTCAGCAGCTGGAAAATCAACCAGTTATGTCCCGCGACCAGCAAACTTTAATCCCGACGACTCAGCTACGGATTCCCAAAGAAGAAAAATCTCATTCCCATCCAACAACCAAGCCTGCAATAATTTCAATGCGGTTTTTACATATTTGCAGCTACTGTGGCGGCGCGCACGCGCGCACTATATGCCCTGTCAAAAGGTCCGTAAATAAAGATTAAAAAAACTACTTATCGACTCCTGTGAATTTTTCCCGTCTGTCTTCTGAATTATCCCACCACCCTAACACTGATTTTAAGGACTATTTACTGTCTGGTCTCGAGCATGGCTTTAATCCGGGCGTCGAAAGCCTCCCCACACAGAGTATCATATGTGATAATCTCCAATCTGCTTTCGCCGAACCTGACACAGTCGACACCCTGATTAAAAAAGAAATCGAATCGGGCTTTATGATTGGTCCTTTTGACATTCCTCCTTTTGAACATTTCCGTATCAGCCCAATTGGAGTGGCCACCAGGAAATTTTCAGGCAAAAAACGCCTTATAATCGATCTTTCAGCCCCCCATAATTCTCCGTTTCCAAGCATTAACAGCCTCATCTCGCTCGAACAATTTTCTCTTCATTACCACACCATTGATCAAGCCATAACATTGATTAAAGACGCAGGTTACGGCGCTTGGCTTGCTAAAGTTGACATCACCTCTGCCTTTAAAGTGATGCCCATCCACCCGGATTCGTGGCATTTGTTCGGCGTACGATGGCAAGGAAAATTTTATTTTTCTGTCCGTTTAACTTTCGGCAGCAAAAGTAGCCCCAAAATTTTCGACATGCTATCAGAGGCTATTTGTTGGATTCTTTCCAATAACTACTCGATACCCTACCTAATCCACTTGCTAGACGATTTCCTGATCATCTCTCCGCCTGAATCCATCCCAGCCGCACATCTTCTCACAGTCTAAAAAGTCTTCAGCGAGCTCGGGATTCCAATCGCCCAAGAAAAAACCATGGGTCCAGCCACATCCATCGAATTCCTGGGCATTAAGTTGGACACAATCAACTTCCAGGCCTCACTACCCAAGGAAAAAATCGACAGGATTATTCTGGTCGCATCCACCCTTCTAGAAAATCCAAATTGCTCTAAACGAGAGCTTCTATCTCTGCTCGGCCATTTAAACTTTGCGATGCGCATTATCCCACAAGGTCGCCCTTTCATCTCACATCTCCTCTTCCTTGCATCATCAGTTCACGAGCTAGAGGACCAAATCTCCCTAACTACTTCATGTAGCAACAAGCGCAGTTTATGGATAACATTCCTTAAACAATGGTCTTTTTTCTATAATAATCTGATTTCTCTCCCTACGGATATCCAACTGTTCACAGATGCAGCTCCTTCCGTTGGTTTCGGAGGTTTCTACCAAGGTCGTTGGTTCGCGTCTACATGGCCAGCCCAGTTGTTAGATTTACCACAATCACTAACATCCTCAGCATTATTCGAGTTGTATCCTTTAGTGGTAGCAGCCTTCTTGTGGGGCAAAGAATGGTCGACTAACAGCATCATGGTACACTGTGATAATGAAGCAACCGTGCATTGCATCAACAAAGGCCGCTCAAATTCCCCCGCTTTAATGCCTCTCCTAAGACGCCTCATTTGGATCGTAGCTTGCGACCAGTTCATCTTAACTGCAAAACATGTTCCTGGGTCCAAAAATCAAATAGCTGACTCTCTCTCTCGTTTTGCTTTCCAGAAATTCAGGCTGTTGGCACCAGAGGCGGACCCATGCCCAACCCCAGTACCTCACTATTCAGAGTTAATATTCCCTTAAACCATCCATTGAAACCACTTCTAGATACCTCTCTTAACTCCATTCTGCAAGCCGTTTCACCCAGCACACTCCAATCCTACCTAACCGCATGGAAGTGTTTTAAGTCTTTCCACTTCACATTCAACCAGCCTTTTCCCAGTTTTTCTCTGCTCAACATCACTTCATTTATATCCTATCTGGACAGCACCAAGAACCTCAAAGCCCGCTCCATCAAGGGCTATCTAAGTGGAATCCAATTCTTCCACAAACTCCTTTTTGGTTCACCCTCCGCAGACATAGCAAATTCCCAGACATCAATGCTTATCAAAGGCATCCAAAAAACCCAACCAACCCGTCCAGATGCCAGACAACCAATAACCTTGGACATACTCACCAAATGTATCTCTACCCTCCGCCGAGGCTACCACTCCACCAACACCGCCCGCACACTGGATGCCATGTTCATATTGGCTTTCTTCGGTTTCCTCAGATGCTCAGAACTCACCATCACTTCCAACTTCAACCCTAAAGTCCATCCCACAATCTCAGATCTTTCAGTATTAGACAACGAAACCATCTCTTACTTCATCAAACAAAGCAAGACAGACCAAATGAAAAAAGGCCACTTCATATACATCTTCAATCTCCAATCACCAATCCAACCATACCAAACTCTCTTCGCGTACTCACAATTCAGAAACTCTCAGACCAAGTCCCCTTCCGACCCACTCTTCACCGACGATTTCAATCGCCCCGTTACACGTTTCTGGTTCCAAAAACATCTCAAATCCATCTTACTCCAAGCAAACATCCCAGCAAATAATTTTTCCAGCCATTCATTCCGCATAGGTGCAGCAACCACAGCTGCCCAAAAAGGCCTTTCCCAGCAGCAAATCCAAGAGCTCGGCCGCTGGTCGTCGGAGGCCTTTAAGAGTTACATCCGTTCTAACCACCTCCATACCAAAGAAGCCCAACGATCCCTACTCAGCTAAACGTCCTCTCAACCTACCATAGGATCCCAGGAAGCAAGCCAAAGGCAAGTCCATCTATCGTTGCAGCAGCACCCTCTACTCCGCCCGCAGGAACTCCATTAACTCGACCAATGTCTGATCCACTGCCGCAGCAGTGTCATCTACCCCGCTCCCGCAGGAGCTCCATTACTCCATCCAACTGGCTCCACTGCCTCAGCAGTGTCATCTACTCCACTCCCGCAGGAGCCCCATTATTTCAAGCAAGTCTGGTCCACTGCCGCAGCAGTGTCGTGCACTCCGCACCCGCAGGAGCTCTGTTACTCCATCCAGCTTGCTCCACTGCCGCAGCAGTACCATCTACTCCGCTCCCGCAGGAGCTCCATTAACTTAAAGCAAGTCTGGTCCACTGCCGCAGCAGTGTCGTGCACTCCGCTCCCGCAGGAGCTCTGTTACTCCATCCAGCTTGCTCCACTGCCGCAGCAGTACCATCTACTACGCTCCCGCAGGAGCTCCACCAACCTAAAGCAAGTCTGGTCCACTGCCGCAGCAGTGTCGTACACTCCGCTCCCGCAGGAGCTCCGTTACTCCATCCAACTTGCTTCACTGCCGCAGCAGTGTCATCTACTCCGCTCCCGCAGGAGCTCCAGTTACCTAAAGCAAGGTTGGTCCACTACCGCAGCAGTGTCGTGCACCCCGCTCCCGCATGAGGTCTGTTACTCCATCCAGCTTGGTCCACTGCCGCAGCAGTGCCATCTACTCCGCTCCCGCAGGAGCTCCATTAACTTAAAGCAAGTCTGGTCCACTGCCGCAGCAGTGTCGTGCACTCCTCTCCCGCAGGAGTTCCGTTTACCAAAGAAGTCCGATCCACTGCCGCAGCGGTGTCTTCTCCTTCTTTTCCATCCACCTCATTTCCACCGTATCAGCCATACCATCCTCCTCCGTCCCTGCACCATTTACAACCTTCCACCCAAGAGGCACACCCATCCAACTCCAAGTCAACCTACTCCCGTCCTACGTTAAAAGAAACCTCCCAGCAACCACCTCTTCCCGCAGCTGATATCTTAAGCTTTACATTTCACAAGTTTTTGGGGGGTCATCAGCATCATTCTGGCGGCTGTCCTGCATTTTATTTCACAGTTTTTGGGGGAGTACTATGGGTTCGGGCCGCATACCGAGCCCGGAGCCCTCTCCTCGGACAGCACGCCAAATATGCATTTATTCTATCTGACTTATTTGTAAGTGTGAACTCGTGAAATGATGTTTTATAAACAAGGTTCGGGAGGAGCACGTTCAAATAAATCATTCCAATCAACTCGTCACCAAACTATTACATGTCTACCCTATCAGCACGAGAGGAAGCATATCCACTGTCAACTCACCTAACATTCCTTGACAGTTTCAGCATCCCTCCACCACCCCAACTCCTCACTCCTTGCTCATTCTTCCACAGTCAGGAACGGGGGGAGTACTATGGGTTCGAGCCGCATACCGAGCCCGGAGCCCTCTCCTCGGACAGCACGCCAAATATGCATTTATTCTATCTGACTTATTTGTAAGTGTGAACTCCTGAAAAACACATTATGCATCAGTGGTATTACCAACACATTATGAATTAAAAAAATGTCGATCCAAAATTTAAAAACGAACAATGTAATTTATTGGAGTATTAGTTGTACCTTTATTAAAGGTATTGTAGGTAGGAATTTTATAAAAAAAAATCTTTTCCAAATTTGTTTAAACTTTCTGTATCAATGCATAATTAAAATGTAAGTACTCTGAAAAAGAAAGTATAAAAATCGAATGTTTGTAGACCTCTCACAACTGTTTTAAAGACAGCTCATTATTTCCATTCACTCCACCCCCTCCCTTCTGGGCACCTTCCAAAGCCACGCCCCCAAAACACATGAACTCGCGACTCCCGACCGCTGAGCTGAAGACGAGCGGAGAGGAAGGAGCGCAGTGCATGTAGTGACATCATGTCAGAATCACATGTAATAAAAAAAATCTAACTTTATCATTATGAAGATAAACAAATAAGATGTATTTTTGTACTCACTATCAAGCTAGCATATTGATATCGGTAAAGTTTAAAATATATATTTATTGATTCGCTAACGAGCTAGTTATCTATAAGGCAAAGCTAAAAACAGGTTGCATGATACACGTTTTTCCATTGCCATCATTTACACTGTGATTAAGATGAATTTCGTGTAACATTCATAACATATATGGTGTTCTGCATGTAAGAGTTTCCATGATGAAAGCATTGTTGACTCTGATGAGGACTACACTCCAGAGACAAGTACCGCATCGTCAGCTCGAGGACAGATAAATCGTTGTTTATCGAAAGACTTTTTGTTCATTACCTTTTCTAGTAACGTTACTCTCTTCCTTTTTTTGGCTGGTTTGCCTTCGCCAACTGCATATGTGAATTTTGATTGGTCTTTCTCTACCATTGTTTTGCTATTCCTAGGTTCCGTGCCTCTTGAATTCCTCAAATCAAACAGGTACGCGCAAGTGGGCAGGTCCTGTGTGGCAAAAGGGTGGTTGCCACACAGAGCTGTGTTTAGTGCAGATTAAACGGTCTAGAGTCACTCGATTTTTATACTCTTTTTATCAGAGTACTTACATTTTAATTATGCATTGATATATATAGAAAGTTTAAACAAATTTGGAAAAAAGTTTTTTTTTATAGAATTTCTACCTACAATACCTTTAAGTAGTAACAGCTTATACATTTTAACAAGGATCTGGAAGAATCAAGGTGCTTACCTATATGAAGATATAAACTATTCCAAAAGTTTTGAGGGGTTTTTTTCTCATTGAAAAAAATAAATGGATAATTGTTTCAGGTATTGTAGTGGTCACCAGCTGGAGTGCCCTTGAGCCACCAGAGGGCACTCCACATCAGACTATTGTCATTCCCTTACAAACTACATCTCCCATAACTCTCGGGGCCCTATTTTAACGATCTGAAACGCAAGTGTCAAAGCGTAAAGCGCAAGTAACTTTGTGGGCGGATCCCGGCGCTGTTGCTATTTTCCCGGCGGGATAAATGCCTCTTGCGCCTGGCGCAAATCTAAAAGGGGTTGGCCTGAAGTAGCTTCATTATTCATAGGTGTGGTTTGGGCGTAACGTGAAATAAACCAATCAGAGCGTCATCTCACATTCCCTTTAAAGGAACACTCCGACTTTTTGGGACTTTAGCCTATTCACCTTATCCCCCAGAGTTAGATAAGTCCATACATACCTTTTTCATCTCCGTGCGTGCTATAAGTCTGTTTGACGCACCCACCGCTAGCCTAGCTTAGCACAAAGACTGGATGTAAATGGTTGCAGCTAGCATACTAATCCAAATAAGTGACAAAATAACACAAACATTTTCCTATTTACATGTTGTGATTTGTATAGTCACAGAGTGTACAAAAAACAAAGTCACATGAGACACAGACATATTTTAACCGTATAAATACTGGGAACTATATTCTCTGAAGGCGAAGCACTGCTACTTGGGCGGAGTGATAACCGCAGCACATCAGACGAGCCGTGGTGAGGAGCAGAGAGCGCGTCTCGGGTGCTGCGGTTATCATTCTTCTAAAGCGGATTCCTATTATAACGGCGGATTTGCCAGGCGCGCGCCAGGAGCGGTTCACAGCCGAGGAGAGCAGCGTTCTCGTCAGAGAAGTGACATTGGGGATGGAGAAACCCACCCAAATTAACTTCTGTTAAACAGGCGTATGAAAATTTGGGTAAATGTGTAACATGCTTTTATAATAAATTGTCTTTCTATCTATCTATCTATCTATCTATCTATCTATCTATCTATCTATCTATCTATCTATCTATCTATCTATCTATCTATCTATCTATCTATCTATCTATCTATCTATCTATATATCTATCTATCTATCTATCTATCTATCTATCTATCTATCTATCTATCTATCTATCTATCTATCTATCTATCTATCTATCTATCTATCTATCTATCGTAATAATGTATGATTTGCAAAAATGAAAACTGCTGCTTAGATGAGAGAATCAACGTGTATGCGCGTTGTGCACACGCTACATTGATTATGGCCAAGCATGCGCCCTTAAAATAGCATAATGAACAACGCGCAACGCGCCACTGACTTTAGACTAGTTTTTTTCTGGTCAGTGGCGCAATTGTTTTATAGAACAGCAAAATAGCATGAGGGAAAGTTTGCGCCGGAACACGCCTCCTCTTTGCGCTGAACCGCCCCGGGGAGCGCAAGTGTATTTCTTAGTTAACCGACGTGCGTCTGTGGAGGGAAAAACCCGCTTTGTGCGGGTGCAAAATAGGAATGATATATGCGTCAGTGTACAAAGTCATTTGCGCCGAGTGCAAGATAGGGCCCTCGGACTCTTCATCCATTATCACATTCACCTGTGTCTCATTATCTTGTTTAGCTCACCCCATATAACCCTGGTTTTCTCATTCATTATCTGCGAAGTCTTGTTTAGTGTTACTCTGCAATCCTGAGCATTCTCCATAGTTTCATGTCTCTTGGATTTCTTGCCTCTTCCGTGGATTACTCTTTTGCCCGTGTTGTTGTGATGGTTGTGATGTGATTGTTGTGATTGTTTGGATTGTTTGTTTGTGTATGGCCCTTGCCTGGATTTGGATTACGATTGTGGATATCCTTTTAAATAAATACTGCATTTGGATCCTCAACCTTCGTGTCTCAGAGCAGTTTGTGACAGGTATATTGCCACAGTATATACACTCACCTAAGGGATTATTAGGAACACCTGTTCAATTTCTCATTAATGCAATTATCTAATCAACCAATCACATGGCAGTTGCTTCAATGCATTTAGGGGTGTGGTCCTGGTCAAGACAATCTCCTGAACTCCAAACTGAATGTCAGAATGGGAAAGAAAGGTGATTTAAGCAATTTTGAGCGTGGCATGGTTGTTGGTGCCAGACAGGCCGGTCTGAGTATTTCATATTCTGCTCAGTTACTGGGATTTTCACGCACAACCATTTCTAGGGTTTACAAAGAATGGTGTGAAAAGGGAAAAACATCCAGTGTGCGGCAGTCCTGTGGGCGAAAATGCCTTGTTGATGCTAGAGGTCAGAGGAGAATGGGCCGACTGATTCAAGCTGGTAGAAGAGCAACTTTGACTGAAATAACCACTCGTTACAACCGAGGTATGCAGCAAAGCATTTGTGAAGCCACAACACGCACAACCTTGAGGCGGATGGGCTACAACAGCAGAGGACCCCACCGGGTACCACTCATCTCCACTACAAATAGGAAAAAGAGGCTACAATTTGCAAGAGCTCACCAAAATTGGACAGTTGAAGACTGGAAAAATGTTGCCTGGTCTGATGAGTCTCGATTTCTGTTGAGACATTCAGATGATAGAGTCAGAATGTGGTGTAAACAGAATGAGAACATGGATCCATCATGCCTTGTTACCACTGTGCAGGCTGGTGGTGGTGGTGTAATGGTGTGGGGGATGTTTTCTTGGCACACTTTAGGCCCCTTAGTGCCAATTGGGCATCGTTTAAATGCCACGGCCTACCTGATCATTGTTTCTGACCATGTCCATCCCTTTATGGCCACCATGTACCCATCTTCTGATGGCTACTTCCAGCAGGATAATGCACCATGTCACAAAGCTCGAATCATTTCAAATTGGTTTCTTGAACATGACAATGAGTTCACTGTACTAAAATGGCCCCCACAGTCACCAGATCTCAACCCAATAGAGCATCTTTGGGATGTGGTGGAACGGGAGCTTCGTGCCCTGGATGTGCATCCCACAAATCTCCATCAACTGCAAGATGCTATCCTATCAATATGGGCCAACATTTCTAAAGAATGCTTTCAGCACCTTGTTGAATCAATGCCATGTAGAATTAAGGCAGTTCTGAAGGCGAAAGGGGGTCAAACAGAGTATTAGTATGGTGTTCCTAATAATCCTTTAGGTGAGTGTATATCACAGGATATATTTTATGTAAGATCTTAAAATGAACTTTTTGAATGTTATTGGGAGTGCAATAACAACCAGGCTTCTTTTCAGTCTATAAACTCAGTAAGAGATGCCCAGTAAAATTTGCCTTTAGGAACAGTAATTTTTTTTTATTAGGAAGAATTTGTCGAATAAGCTTATTATTATTATTATATATATTTTTTTCCGATAAATAGGCTATATTCTTATTCCATCTAAGATCAAATCAGGTTCTTTGGTGTCACTCTTACTAAAACTTAAATGACATTTTACAAGTTGAGCACTGCATAATATTCTTTAAAGGGTAAGGGGAAATTATCCAGACATACATTTTTCATAAGACAAAAAAATAGGCTACCAGATTTTTAAAAAATTGAAAGAATTCCAATTATATGGTATTCAAACCATGTTTAGTCTACTGCTAATTCAAACCATGTTTACATCCACTAAAAGGATGTCACTTCCTGTAGGACGATGTCATTTCTTGTCCTTAAAGTGATTTTATTTCTATTAGAGAAAGGAATTGATAAACACATGACATTTTTTGTAATAAATCGCCAGTTCGTCATGTTAGAACGTATAGCTACAGCCACAAAATGTATTCATCCCATGTTAGATTAATTGTGATGTTGAAAACTAACTTAAATAGTTTATACACAAGTATCGCGAAAGTATCGGTCAGTCAGTCAGTCAGTCAGTCAGTCAGGGCGGGTCTGGGAAACGCGCTCGCGCTGCAGGGAAGCAACAGAGTCATTACACTAATTTTTGGAATTCCGCTTCCGTTCAGTGGAATTCAATAATTCTCCACAACTTTAATCCCGCACGTCCAGATAAGAGGCACATCCACATTTACTGTTTTGCTTATCAAATGGCTTCTTCACCGCAGAAATCACCGTCCTCGCCGAAAGCTCCCACTCCGAAGTCGCCTTGCTCCAGGAAAAAAGATGAGTCTTTTCTTGGAAAACTTGGTGGAACTTTAGCAAGAAGAAAAAGGGCAAAAGAAGGTGTGAATTCAACTTAACTGCACGGATAGCCGCTGTCTCTGATATTAGGCTCTCTTATATTTCATTCTATGCATGTCAAATAAATCTCTCTAAAGCTCACTGATGTTAAGGCATGGATCTGTCTGCTGTACTGTATATAGTTATGAACACATGCACTATGTTTGTTTCATTTTATTTTTGAAACAAAAAGTAGTGCAGTAGTGCAATATTATATAAGTTATAGGCTAATAATATAATACTATTTTTACCATAAGTTAAGATATTTTAAAATGTGCTTTTTATCTCAGAAAAATCTTTCTTTCTTTCTTTCTTTCTTTCTTTCTTTCTTTCTTTCTTTCTTTCTTTCTTTCTTTCTTTCTTTCTTTCTTTCTTTCTTTCTTTCTTTCTTTCTTTCTTTCTTTCTTTCTTTCTTTCTTTCTGTTACTTGTTTAATTCTGACCATGTAAATTGTAACTATTACACTGTTGTTGATATTATACTTAACAATGTGAGTGTTTACAAAAGGCTGCCCGTCTCTGCTGTGACCATATAAGGAAGAGAAGTGGCTGTTTTAAATACTCATTGTGAGATTTGGGGTAAATATGTAAAGGATATGCATGAGAAAATTATTGCCTATTTTCACTTTAAGCATTCTGGGTAACACTTCATTTTACAGTGTCCTTGTTACACATGTTACATGTACTGTAGCAATATCTATAATAGGCATAATTGCATGCAACTAACCTTATACCATCCCTACCCTAACCCTTTAGTAACTACATGTAGCTAATTATTATTACTCGGTACTTAATGTATAATTTCACTGTAAAAAGGACACCTTAAAATAAAGAGTAACTAATTTATGTTATGAATATAATCATCCTGTTATGCTGACATCCATTGCTCATTCAGAATGTCACTGCAGATCCTTTGACATTCATTTCATATATATATATATATATATATATATATATATATATATATATATATATATATATATATATATATATACGTATATATATACACACACAGCATAGGAGTGATGGAATTGTTTGTCTTGTTTTTTTTGTCCCATGTGGCAGAGACATATTTAGTTAGCTGGTATGTTTATTTGTGGGTTTAGATTTTCACCGAGAGAAAGAACCACAAGCCACAACAGGAAGTACCATCTGGCACCCCGAGAGAAATGAAAAATCTTGTCAAAAGTTCATTTACAAGCGGTAAATCTGCTGTTATGGATACGTTCTAAACCTCTGAGTTCATTGGGAAGTTGCTTCTCCTTGCCCTCCGCTGTTAGAAGCAGCAGTGATGGCAGGATTCGGCGTTGATTAAAAACAGGATGTCGATATCTCTAGGGATCTGTACCGATTCTTCTTCTGGACTGCCTCTCACAGAGATGTGCTCCAGCATTGCTTTAGTGATCGGCCAGTATCGACGGGCCACTGGGCAGATGGAGACAGAGAGGGTGTTTAAAAGATCACCTGCTCGAGACACCATGTGCTGATTCACAGGAAGGCAGACAGGGTCAATTAAATGAGAGATTCAATGGAACAGCAAGATTCAGAGGCTTAATCTATAAGCATTAACTAACACTAATCTGTTAATAGGTTTGAGAGTTACACGTCCAATGTCCACTATAACAATAGCAAGCTAACTAGCAATTCCCCACTGACGGCATATTCATGTCATGTCATGCGAATTGCAATCCCTTTTGAAAAAGAAGTGTGATTAATTGTGTAGAATGTGCACCTGAAGTGTACTTAAGATCTTAAAAATATTTAACAAAACAACTACTAGCAGATAATTATGAAAGCTTGCTTCCACCAGGGAATAACACAATTAAAAAATAATTGCGACTTTTTATCTCACAATTCTGACTTTTTTTTTCTCACAATTGCGAGTTTACATCTTCTAATTCTGACTTTTTTCTCACAATTGCAAGAAATAAAGTCAGAATTGCGAGATATAAAGTCGTAATTGCAAGATATAGAGTCAGAATAGAGAGATATTAAGTTGCAATTGCGAGATATAAAGTCAGAATTGTGAGATGTAAAGTTACAATTGCGAGATATAAAGTCAGAATTGTGAGATATAAAGTCAGAATTGTGAGAAATAAAGTCAGAATTGCGAGATATAAAGTTACAATTGTGAGATATAAAGTCAGAATTGCGAGATATAAAGTCAGAATTGCGAGATATAGTCGTTATTGTGAGATATAAAGTCGTAATTGTAAGTTATAAAGTCAGAATTGCGAGATATAAAGTCGTAATTGCAAGATATAGAGTCAGAATTGAGAGATATTAAGTTGCAATTGCGAGATATTCATAATTGTGAGAAATAAAGTCAGAATTGCGTGATATAAAGTCGCAATTGCGAGATATAAAGTCAGAATTGTGAGATATAAAGTCAGAATTGTGAGAAATAAAGTCAGAATTGCGAGATATAAAGTTACAATTGTGAGATATAAAGTCAGAATTGCGAGATATAAAGTCAGAATTGCGAGATATAGTCGTTATTGTGAGATATAAAGTCGTAATTGTAAGTTATAAAGTCAGAATTGCGAGATATAAAGTCGTAATTGCAAGATATAGTCAGAATTGAGAGATATTAAGTTGCAATTGCGAGATATTCATAATTGTGAGAAATAAAGTCAGAATTGCGTGATATAAAGTCGCAATTGCGAGATATAAAGTCAGAATTGCGAGATATAAAGTTACAATTGCGAGATATAAAGTCTGAATTGCGAGATATAAAGTCAGAATTGTGAGATATAAAGTGGCAATTGCGAGATATAAAGTTACAATTGCGAGATATAAAGTCAGAATTGTGAGATATAAAGTCAGAATTGCGAGATATAAAGTTACAATTGCGAGATATAAAGTCAGAATTGTAAGATATAAAGTTACAATTGCGAGATATAAAGTTACAGTTGCGAGATATAAAGTCAGAATTGTGAGATATAAAGTCAGAATTGTGAGATATAAAGTCAGAATTGTGAGATATAAAGTTACAATTGCGAGATATAAAGTTACAATTGTGAGAAATAAAGTCAGAATTGTGAGATATAAAGTCGCAATTGTGAGAAATAAAGTCAGAATTGTGAGATATAAAGTCGCAATTGTGAGATATAAAGTCAGAATTGTGAGAAATAAAGTCAGAATTGTGAGATATAAAGTCAGAATTGTGAGATATAAAGTCAGAATTGTGAGAAATAAAGTCAGAATTGTGAGATATAAAGTCAGAATTGTGAGATATAAAGTCAGAATTGCGTGATATAAAGTTACAATTGTGAGAAATAAAGTCAGAATTGCGAGATATAAAAGTTACAATTGCGAGATATAAAGTTACAATTGCGAGATATAAAGTCATAATTGTGAGATATAAAGTCATAATTGTGAGAAATAAAGTCAGAATTGTGAGAAATAAAGTCAGAATTGTGAGATATAAAGTCAGAATTGTGAGATATAAAGTCAGAATTGCGTGATATAAAGTTACAATTGCGAGATATAAAATCATAATTGTGAGATATAAAGTCAGAATTGTGAGAAATAAAGTCAGAATTGTGAGATATAAAGTCAGAATTGTGAGAAATAAAGTCAGAATTGTGAGATATAAAGTCAGAATTGTGAGAAATAAAGTCAGAATTGTGAGATATAAAGTCAGAATTGTGAGATATAAAGTCAGAATTGCGTGATATAAAGTTACAATTGCGAGATATAAAATCATAATTGTGAGATATAAAGTCAGAATTGTGAGATATAAAGTCATAATTGTGAGATATAAAGTCAGAATTGTGAGAAATAAAGTCAGAATTGTGAGATATAAAGTCAGAATTGCGTGATATAAAGTTACAATTGTGAGATATAAAGTCAGAATTGCGAGATATAGTCAGAATTGCGTGATATAAAGTCGTAATTGTGAGTTATAAAGTCAGAATTGCGAGATATACAGTCAGATCATATACAGTAATCAACCATCAGATTTGAGGGAGAAGTTTACAGTTTATGTCAAATTTAGGCTTTCAACCAGTTAGGTGCCTCTACATCAGTGTTATTCACCTCCGTCCTTCGGATGAGACGTTAAACCGAGGTACTGACTCTCTGTGGTCATTAAAAATCCCATGGCACTTCTCGTAGAGATTAGGGGTGTATCCTGGACAGATTCCCTTCATTGGCTCTTTTCAATCATGGCCTCTCAATAATCCCTATCCATTAAAGCCATGGCTCTATCACTCTCTCTCCTCTCCACCGATAGCTGGTGTGTGCGTGTGTGTGTGAGCACACTGGTGCCGTCGTATCATACGTTTGGAGACTGAACACTGGTTGGTGAGGAGAGATCCCTGATATGATTGTAAAGTGCTTACAGTAGTCCATTGTAAAGCACTATATAAATGCCTCATTCGTTCGTTTGTTCATTCATTCATTCATTCATTTGTTCATCCATTCGTTCAAAAATTCATTCATTCATTCATTTATTTGTGTGTTCATTTGTTCATTCATTCATTCATTCATTCATTCATTCATTCATTCATTCATTCATTCATTCATTCATTCATTCATTCATTCGTTCTTTTATTCATTCATTAATGCGTTTGTTTGTTCATTAGTCTATTCATTCATTCATTCATTCATTCATTGTAGGGTTGGGTTTAGGTGTGGGATAGGGTTAAACTTAAATTTTATTAAATTTATATTATTTTATTTTATAAAATTTTCAGACAGGAATGTTGTTTCAGGATCAACAAAACATGTTGACCCAGGGGCGCGTCTAACTTTGCAAAAACAGGATTTATAAAAAAAATTATGCTAGAATTTTTTTTTATGTTAAAATTCTCTAAAAATACACTCTTCACCTTCAAAATAATGTTGAAATGGGATTTTAGATATTTTGTACTGGTTTCTGAACATTCTTCATTTTGGCAAATATTGCTGTATTGATTGAAGGTCTGAATTGTAGTTCTTTTGTTAATCTGAGCGTGTTCAGGGATGAATGCATAGCATTAAATGAGAGGCTTTGAGTAGCCCCCTCCCCAGTGAGGCTAATACTGCATAACTGACCTCCAGTGATGAGAGGCACAGCTTAAAAAGAGCTGTGTGTTCAGCTCTGCCACTTCTTTGAGTATTGCTGCTAGATGATGCTACAATTGATGAGGTCATATCATACAATATTATAATAGTTTGAGCGAAAATATTAAGCTACTCAAGGTTTCTTGCATCAAAACACTGATGATTTTTCAATAACAAGACTTAATATCTGAAGTAATTTTTCTTCTCCTTTTTTTTACCTGGGTGTGACTAATGAACCAAGTTTATGAACAGACAAGGCTTGGCTGACATATAAAGATGTTAATTAATCTGTTTGACATCAGAAAGTTGTAGAGGTTCAGCTTCAATGAAAGGTCATGAGGTCAGAGTTCTGAAACTTACTGTATATTTCATCGTAGATTGAGATCTTGTGAAGGCAAATTAAGTTGTTTATGACATGCAGCATGAAGTGGTTCAAGAGAAAATCTTTTTTATGCGTTGTGTTGTGTTGTGTTGTGTCATCTTTTCATAGTGTCTGAGCTACAGGAGGAGGGGATGAATGCGATTAACCTGCCCCTCAGCCCCACACCCTTTGAGCTGGACCCTGAAGACACCATGCTTGGTAAAATCTCTCAACATTACTAATTCAGAGTTCAACCACACAGCCTCTGTAAGCCTCTAAAAGCTTATTTCCCATTTCTCTCAAAAGACGAGAATGAAGTCCGTACCATGGTTGATCCCAACTCAAGGAATGATCCCAAACTCCAAGAGCTGATGAAGGTAAATCAACTGTTCTTCTTCGAGAGCTTTGGCCTTTGATCCCAAACTCCAAGAGCTGATGAAGGTAAATCAACTGTTCTTCTTCGAGAGCTTTGGCCTTTTTCGTTCACTCTCTTGACTTGCAACTCTCTAAACAAGTTAGTCTAGTGGGACAGTTGTCATCTATCATGCAAAGAGACTCATGTTCAAATCCTGATCTAATTTTATGCCATAAAAGAACCATTTTTGTTTCCCCCGAATAAACAAAAGATGAAAAATTCTTAATTTTTCTTTGTGCAAAAAACACTTCTTTATCTACTATAAAGAAGTTTGTGGAACGGAAATATTCCATGGACATTAAAGGTCCTTTATGGAACCATTGATGCCAATAAATAATTGTTATTTTAGAGTGTACATCAAAGTAAAATACAGACTCAAAAGATCACATTGGTATTCACAACATAAATTATATATATAAAAATAAATCAAACTACAGTATGTATATTTATAATTGTACAGTATATCATCCTTAGAATAATGTGAAACATTATTTGAAGACATTCACTAACTAATAATAGACCCCCAAGCTACTTTGGGATGCATGGATGATTGTAACTCATAAGGGTAGTTTTGAGGTAAGGTAGTCTTTTAACATACATATTCAATGATCCCACTTCTCTGGTGTTTCATGACAGGTGCTCATTGATTGGATCAATGATGTGTTGGTGGGAGAGAGAATCATTGTTAAGGATCTAGCTGAAGACCTCTATGATGGACAGGTTCTTCAAAAACTCTTCGGTGAGGAATCAGTTCTGGAAAAGAGCCTATATTGTTGTTCCATTAAGACCCAGTATAAATATTGTGTATCTATTCCCAGAGAAACTGGAGGGAGAGAAGCTGAATGTGGCTGAGATGACTCAGTGTGAGATCGCTCAGAAACAGAAGCTGCAGACGGTTCTGGAAAAGATCAATGACACCCTCAAAGTTTCCTCCAGGAACATTAAATGGACTGTTGACTGTGTGTACTGTAGCTTTTTTCTCTTTGGCACGCTATATTATACTGTTCATCACTCAGCCACCAATTGTGGTCACTGGGTATTTCACTGATTCTGCTTAAAGGGATAGTTCACTTTGAAATTAATTTTTGGTATGTTTTAGCTTATCTCAAGGGCATCCAAGATGTAGGTGTCTTTGTTTCCACAGTAGTTTCAATTTTGATATTTTTAGGTCAAACCGTTCTTGTCTGTCAGTCATATAATGCAGGTCTACGGTCACCACCTCAAAGAGCATGCACAGAGAAGTCCAAATTAAACATGATTTAATGACTCGTAAATGTAAGTACACATTGATGGCATAAGACACGAAACGAGCGGTTTGTGTGAGAAAACGAACAGTATTTATATCGTTTTTACCTCTTGTAACCACAGCCACGTCCAAGTGATCTGAGGGCGCGGGCGCTTCGGTCTGCGCAAGCGCCGGAAAGCGCTGGAAGTGATCTCTCGCGCGTGTACGTCACTCATTGTTTACACAGAGATTTCGGAAGTGTTACCTTTCACTGTGAAGATCTAAACATATTTAGATATACAGAAAATCGCAATGGAAGACGATTTCGATATATCAACAGACAACGTTGAATTTTTTTCGCAACCGCGCGAGAGATCACTTCCGGCGCTTTCCGGCGCTTGCGCAGACCGAAGCGCCCGCGCCCTCAGATCACTTGGACGTGGCTGTGTTTACAAGAGGTAAAAACGATATAAATACTGTTCGTTTTCTCACACAAACCGCTCGTTTCGGTCTTCGGCCATCAATGTGTACTTACATTTACGAGTCATTAAATCATGTTTAATTTGGACTTCTCTGTGCATGCTCTTTGAGGAAGTGACCATAGACCTGCATTATATGACTGACAGACAAGAACGGTTTGACCTAAAAATATCAAAATTGAAACTACTGCGGAAACAAAGACACCTTGGTCTTGGATGCCCTTGAGGTAAGCTAAAACATACCAAAAATTAATTTCAAAGTGAACTATCCCTTTAAGTCAAGTCATCTTCATTTATGTAGCGCTTTTATCAATGTAGATTGTTCCAAATCGGCTTTACAGTGATAATAGGAAATTAAAGTAACAGATTGTTTTGGCTTTATGGCACCTCTAGAATAAAGTTAAAGGCTTAAAGGTAGGGTTGGCAATTTAGGAGCGGCTAGCAATAGCAAGCTAGTTTTGAAAGCATTAGATCCCTCCTGTTGTTGCTTCTGCTGTTTATTCTGTTGTGTTTTTCTCAGCGGTTCATGCGAAGAACATTGTGGCCATTCTTCACCTGCTTGTGGCTCTTTCTCAGCATTTCCGGGCCCCTATCAGACTGCCAGACCATGTGTCCATTCAAGTAGTCGTGGTCCAGGTGCTTTTATTTCTCTGTTCACATAGCCAATTCATTAGCTTAAAGCTTCTCAGCTGCTATATTGTTTTACTCACATTTAAGGGTCTTGTCGCAATGGACCTGAATGAAAACATGAGCAACAACCTTTGTAAAAGTTCTGTGTAAATGTTCTTTTAAATCCATATTGTCGCAAAATGGCAATTGACTTATTGACTGAATAATTTTAATTTTTTTGGCGTTTCATGAATGAGCTACAATGATTATAAAGAACTCGTTTTTAAATAACCTTTGACCATACACATACCATAGTAATACTGTTTTAACTTGGTATCTTATTTTATTGTGATGTTACAGTAATCACAATAGCTGAAGCTTTGTTTGCCATGGTGAATTTCTGAAAAAGGTTATAAACTTTTCCTTGCTTTTTACATTATTTAATAAAACGTTTCTCTATCCCAACAGAAACGAGAGGGAATACTTCAGTCTCGGCAGATTCAGGAGGAAATTACAGGCAACATAGAGTATGTTTTTATTTTTAATTCATAACAGAACTTGCAAATAAAAGAGTAACACTTTACAGTACGACATGTTAACATTAGCACAATAGTTAGCATTAGTAAATGCACTGAACTAACGGTGACCAACAATATATTTTATAAACATCCCAGCTGGCATTTTAACGTCGAGTCACTGTTGAATCAACGTCAGGTGCCAGTGTTGGATAACCGTTGAATTTTGTTTAGATTTTGTAAATCAGATTGCAAATTGGATTTTGGAACAACGTTATTTTTCTACTGATATATTTCAACAAAATGTTTAAAAGTCATGATTGTAAAAATAATGTTGATTTGACGTACAACTCAAAAAATTTTGATATTTCTTGAATCCGTAGTGAGTCAACAACACAACTTCAACTATTTGGTGTTCAACGTTGTTTTAACGTTGAATTAATGTTTTTTTCATAAACTGACATTATTTCAACCACATTTAAACGTTTAATGTCAGTCGAATGCCAGCTGGAATTAACCAAGATAAAATAGTATAAAATAGGCTACTCTTTATTCTTAGTATATGATAATGCACTAATGTTGATCTATAAAAAAACCTTTATATGCTATAAATGCATTTATAATGCTAAAAGCCCTGATATACTTCACGTGAAATCGCAGAACGAACCTGTGTGACGTAATTTCGAACAAAATCAGGCCAACACTAAGTTCTGTCAGGACCACTATCGTCAATGCGATTGACAATTAGCATACAGTTTGGATTGGAGGTGGTAAACGTGATTTCATCAAGTACCACATGTTCCATGTCCCAATCAACCAATCAGATTTGAGGGACAAGTTTACAGTTTATGTCAAGTTTAGGCTTAGAACCATGGTGAAGTACTTAAACATCAGTGTTATTCACCTATCATTACCCTCTGATTTTAGGGAAAAGTTAAGGGTAGGGTTAGGTTTAGGGGTAGGGATTGGGTAAGGACTACATTTTGGGACAGGAATGTTGATCCAGGATCAACAAAATATGTTGATCCAGGACCATGTCTTACTTGGCAAAATCACGGTGACCGATTGGAGGTATGGTTCAGGGCAAGAACTGCCTAGCATGGATAAGAGCAGGCAGAGCAGCAATAACCCCCCTTAGGGTAAACAGAACAGAACCAACATGAATGTATTGCAGATATCATTAATTCAATATTTTAATGTACAACATAATTCGAGAATTGAGTCTGATTCAAAGGGGAATCAGAATGCCACACTGACTGACGAGACGAGAGGAGGAGCTGGGGATGGAGGAGGGTAATTCGCTCCTGAGAAACGCGATATCTGCTGGTAATACTGAAGTAGCTTATATAGAGAGCCTAAGTCCCTCCCCTTCCGGTCGACCACCATGGGACCTTATTTCGGAAAAATATTGTATGGTAGTCAATGGCGAGAGACAACAAATATTTTGATCTCGTTTGAATTGTGCCCTGAATTACACATATGATGTTTGGCAATTTAAAAGATACATTTTAAAGTCAAGAAAGTCGCTGTTTGATGTAAAACTGTTGAGGTATAAGACTGTGAAAATACGTAATTACAAAGACTACAAACCCAAAAAAGGCGCACATTTTCTCTCAATAAATGAAGCTAACTTTACTGAAGCTAACGTCTGTCATTTCTTCTATAGTCTTACGTTATAATCGTAACGTTACGCCGTCATGCCTGAGTGTTTTGTACCAGACTGCACACACACGAGCAGTGGATCTCGCTCGTTGTTTCGCTTCCCGGGAGATGTATTTCATTGATCGATTTTCACATAAAACTAAATGTTACTCTTCTGTTTCATGACAAACTGCGACTTTCTTGACTTTCATAATTATCTTTTAAATTGACAAACATCATATGTGTAATTCAGGGCACAGTTCAGACGGAATAAAAAGATAAGTTGTCTCTCGCCATTGACATACATAATTTTTCCGAAATAAGGTCCCATGAGCCGGAAGCGGAGGCTCTCTATATGGATGCTGTTATAGGCGTCGTATTCCTATAGGTAGACGTGGATCAGCTGAGAGTGTGATCCACGTCGAGGTCTGATGTCTGTGAGTGAAAACATACAAGTCACTGACCCTGTTTTTCATGTTTAAAGGGGTCATATAATGGTACATGCACTTTTACAAGTTGATTGTACTGAAATGTGTGTTGGCAGTGCCTGTACACAACCATCATAAAATGATAAAAATCCATCCAGTGTTTTTGTTTTAATCTCCTTATATGTTTTCCCCTGCCTCAAATTGAGCCGTTCGATTTTGTGACGTCACACGCTCGGAAACCCCTCCCACGATTGTTGATTGACAGCATCGTTTCAACACAGACCCGCCCTCGCTCGTGAGAGCTGTCAATCATAGTCTGCGTGGACCGGCGCGGTCATTGTTGATATGCTGGAGCACTGTCTATGAGCAGAATGGCGTCTAAGCGATTGTGGTGTTCTGCTCTTGGGTGTAATAACGAACACAGTCATTTTAGTGTTCCTAAATCCGAACCGCTGAAGACGCAGTGGCTGAGTTTGTTTTCGAAGGGAATATTCCCCACGAGCAACGTCAATGCTCTCATGTTTGCGCGAATCATTTCTCACCACCAGACTGCTTTATAAACGAGGGTCAGTATAAAGCTGGATTTGCTAAGAAACTGCTCCTGAAAAAAGATCGGTACCAGCTATTCGTGTTCCTGCTGAACCTCTAGAACAACTGAAGTGAGTGTAACGTTTTATTAAACTTTATATTACTATTTATATTTATATTAATCTTTGCAAATCGCTACCTGCACACTTCACAATGAATGCTAAGGTTTACACTTAGGGTGCATTACGGCATGTTTTCTATGTATGATGTTCTCAATATAATTCATAATCCCACGTTTATACTGAACAACGCGTTATGGTTATTGTGTTATTGAGTTACAAATGGTGTGTACGCACAGAACAGAGAGGCGGAGTCAGCAAAGCTCATTATCATTTAAAGTCATATGCACTGAAACGGCGTGCTGAAAACAGAGTTGTTTTTGACCAAGTAAAATAAGTGTTTTCTTACAATACTAATGAGAATTTTTAATTAAAGTATATCACAAACTTTTAATTTAGACCCTAAAGAATCATACTAGCTTGTACAAAAATGGCATTATATGACCCCTTTAATACTGTAAAGCTGCTGTATCTACTGTATAAAGTCCTATATAAATTAACCTGACGTGACTTAACTGGAGTGCCGAATTGCAGAGCTGGTACAAACATCCACATCGCGATATCAGATGCTTTCTTAACTTCTGTTTTCTCACCGCTGTCATTTTTGTTGTGTTTATTTTGTTATTGAGAGCACGTATTCATCAAAGCGTTGCTCTCAGCAGTGTGGGTGTCATCTGGATGCTCGCTAACAGTTTACTGCTGGTCGTGTATTTCGATTTCTTTTTACCCCTAAGCAAAGAACGAAAAGAACTTCGCCTTGAGTATATCGGGGCCTAATTCCCTTTTGCAGGACAAAAAAATGGAGAAAATGAACAAGGCAGAGAACAAGAGTGTCTGTCGTATTGTTTAACATTTGGTTTACATGTTAAAATATGATCAGGCATCTGGTGGCTGGTGACATGAGAGTCATGTAGCAGTGGTGTACTGGGTGTGTGTGTGATTTGCAGTGTTGTAGAGGTTGCTCTGCCAGTTCTCCACTGCTGCTGCTGATTATCATTGGTCCAGCGGGCTCGAGATAAGGCAGAGAGCAGCTCCTCGGGCAGCAGCTGCTGAGACATGCCTCTGCCCCGGCAGAGTCGAGCCGCTGCTGGGCACACGTCCACTAGGCCAATATCCTGGAACCCAGTTCTGTTTGATCAGCCCGCTCCTGGGACCGGAGCATCCCCTTCCCCCCTAATCTTTTTGTTTGCCTTTCATCCTGGCACTCTTGATACGACCCTCTGATTTTGCTTGTTATTTTGCCATTTAGTGACTGTTTGTGTAAAACCCTTTCAGTCAAAGATAAATAGATTGTGGGTCTCTTTTGTTGCTCAAATTATTATTGAAATAATAATCCTTTTTTTTCCTTCCCCAAAGGGCATTGTCTGGAAGATATGGTGAGTATTATTATGTTTGCTTATATTGAAATGTATTTACAGTGGCCTGAATAACATTTTGAACAATGTATGAATGCATCTGTATTAGATAGATTTTTTTAAATAGAATATTTTTTTCTAATAAAATGAGACATTTTTGAAAAGAAAAATGATTCAGTTAAATTCCCCCTGTAGTTAATCATTTTATCCCTTAAAACTCATCTTTGATCACCAAAATAACATTTTTAAACGTTTTTTCCTTGAAAAAAGTCTTCATGTCATAAAGTAGCTTGAATGTAACTCTACACCCTTGCCTCATTTAATATACATGGTTCTATGAATATGCAAATGAGCCCCGCCTCCACTCACTCACTCCAGCTCAGAGATCCACTCGTTGACGATCACACGTTGATCTGATTGATTACAAGGTAGTTTGTGACGTCAGAAACACCAGCGATTTCAAACCGTGTTTTTCAGACTGTCTTTGATTCACTGCAGTTTTAAGAAGAAAATACTCAGCAATGCTGTCGACATGAATTTGCACATGTTTTTTCTTAAAGCATATTAAAACACCACATAGACATAAAAATAACATTAAAACTTGATTTTCACCACAGGGGGACTTTAAAGTAACATTAAATATGTAGTACACTAATAGTATTATATCCAAAATATATAAAATTAAACTTTAAATGGACATGAAAAAAATTAAGTGGTTTGAGTAGCAATGCAGAATAGCAGAATTAGTAAAAAGGGCTTTTCTAAAATGAACCTGTAAGAAGTATTTGGACACTTTGTTGTCAAAAGTTCATAGTTGATGTGATGTACTAACCCTCAAAAATAAAATTAGACTGTATATGTTTTCTAATGCCTCCCTGGAAATGAGCAATCGTGTCATATTTTACTCTAACAGAGCGAGACGCCTTTGATACCCTTTTTGACCATGCGCCAGATAAGCTGGATGTAGTGAAAAAGGCAAGTGCACATCACACTATTTCTCGAGAGGTTTTACACACTGAGAGCTTTGACTCTTGACTCTGAACTTTTGGTCTCTCTTTTTTTCAGACTCTTAACACATTTGTGAACAAGCACTTAAACAAGTTGAATCTGGATGTGTCGGAGCTGGAAACGCAGGTAACATGATTTTGACTCACAGAATATCACAGACAGACATGTATGTGCATATCCAAAAAACTGAAATCTTAATGTTTTGCGATTCCCTCCAGTTTGCAGATGGCGTGTACCTGGTCTTACTGATGGGACTCCTAGAAGGATACTTTGTGCCCCTCTATAACTTCTTCCTCATCCCTGAAAATTTTGATCATAAGGTAAATTACTGTGACACTATAGTTAATAATTATATGATTAAAATAGGGATTAAATATACACTCACCTAAAGGATTATTAGGAACACCTGTTCAATTTCTCATTAATGCAATTATCTAATCAACCAATCACATGGCAGTTGCTTCAATGCATTTCGGGGTGTGGTCCTGGTCAAGACAATCTCCTGAACTCCAAACTGAATGTCAGAATGGGAAAGAAAGGTGATTTAAGCAATTTTGAGCGTGGCATGGTTGTTGGTGCCAGACGGGCCGGTCTGAGTATTTCACAATCTGCTCAGTTACTGGGATTTTCACGCACAACCATTTCTAGGGTTTACAAAGAATGGTGTGAAAAGGGAAAAACATCCAGTATGCGGCAGTCCTGTGGGCGAAAATGCCTTGTTGATGCTAGAGGTCAGAGGAGAATGGGCCGACTGTTTCAAGCTGATAGAAGAGCAACTTTGACTGAAATAACCACTCGTTACAACCGAGGTATGCAGCAAAGCATTTGTGAAGCCACAACACGCACAACCTTGAGGCGGATGGGCTACAACAGCAGAAGACCCCACCGGGTACCACTCATCTCCACTACAAATAGGAAAAAGAGGCTACAATTTGCAAGAGCTCACCAAAATTGGACAGTTGAAGACTGGAAAAATGTTGCCTGGTCTGATGAGTCTCGATTTCTGTTGAGACATTCAGATGGTAGAGTCAGAATTTGGCGTAAACAGAATGAGAACATGGATCCATCATGCCTTGTTACCACTGTGCAGGCTGGTGGTGGTGGTGTAATGGTGTGGGGGATGTTTTCTTGATACACTTTAGGCCCCTTAGTGCCAATTGGGCATCGTTTAAATGCCACGGCCTACCTGAGCATTGTTTCTGACCATGTCCATCCCTTTATGGCCACCATGTACCCATCCTCTGATGGCTACTTCCAAGCAGGATAATGCACCATGTCACAAAGCTCGAATCATTTCAAATTGGTTTCTTGAACATGACAATGAGTTCACTGTACTAAAATGGCCCCCACAGTCACCAGATCTCAACCCAATAGAGCAGGGGTGTCCAAACTCAGTCCTGGAGGGCCACTGTCCTGCAGAGTTTAGCTCTAACCCCAATTAAATTCACCTGAAACAGCTAATCAAGATCTTGATTAGCTGTTGAAGGTCATTAGGCATGCTAAAAACTTGTGTGTTGTTGCAAACAGGTGTGTTGAGGCAAGTTGGAGACAAGTTGGAACTAAACTCTGCAGGACAGTGGCCCTCCAGGACCGAGTTTGGACACCCCTGCAATAGAGCATCTTTGGGATGTGGTGGAACGGGAGCTTCGTGCCCTGGATGTGCATCCCACAAATCTCCATCAACTGCAAGATGCTATCCTATCAATATGGGCCAACATTTCTAAAGAATGCTTTCAGCACCTTGTTGAATCAATGCCACGTAGAATTAAGGCAGTTCTGAAGGCGAAAGGGGGTCAAACACAGTATTAGTATGGTGTTCCTAATAATCCTTTAGGTGAGTGTAAATTACTACTGACCTCTGTTTTGAGACATAATTCTGAGTAAAAATGGCTTATTGGACAAGAAAACAATGTAGGGACTGGGGAGGCACTGTATTTTAACGATCCACCAAAATTTTCAAGCTTCAAAAAGCATTGTCAAAGTAATCCATATGAATCGTGCGGATTAAGTCTTCTATAAATGTACATACAGCACATCAAATATGGTTAATGGCAGCATCAACATGCTTGCATGACATGCAATAACGAACCTCAAGCAAGAATGTTTGCACTTTAATTTTCTATTTTTGAAGGTGTTGATCAATGTTTATATGTGAACAAATGAAAAAAAAAAAATCGGTTAATCATATTATACAACAGTCTCTTCAGAAGACTTGGATGAAACTATTTGATTCATATGGATTACTTTTACAATTACTTTTTGAAGCTTGTCAATGGAGGGACAGTGTTATTAAAGGTACAATACGTAACATAAGGTTGACATGGAGCCACTAAATCTCCAACCTCCGGAAAATCACCCGTTTTAATCACTTAACAGAGCTCGTAATAAAACAAGAATCAACATCGGCTTGGCTTTTCAGGGATGTCGAGAACTGAGGGATTTAAAATGTTGTAAAAGCGATGCGGAGATGATGCCGTTTTTATTACTCTACAGGTTAGTAAGGTATTTTATTGAACATATAGATTGCCATATGTGCTCTAACAGAGTTCATTGTTAAACATTATCTATTATGAACGGTCATATTCATCCGTACAGTCACATAGAGCCAAAGCACACCCAAAACAATGTTCTTACGCAAAATGCATGCAGTCTTTTTAACTGCTAGACATAGTGTACCTTTAAAGCAGGGACGTGCACAGGGGGGTTGCTCAGGTTGCCCGGGCAACTGCCCATATGCCCTTCTCACTCAAGTTGCCCTTCCGAGAAAAAAATTAAATCGTACAATGGATGCAGAATTTCACGTAGGCCTAGATTAAAAAAAAAATCGCAAAGCCTCATTCACTTCCATTCGGGCACCGAAAGTGAAAGTCAGTATGAAGGGCAAACGCTGCACGCGACCATAGACTGCACGCAACCGGCGTAGGGCCACGCAAATTACTTAAGGCCACGCCTCCATCTCGTGTCATAGTCATAGCGCGCCGTCAAATGTGTAGCTACAACATCCACGACAAAATGAAGCGAAACTATCCTTCTGGTCACGAAAAGAGGAAGAAGAAAAAAACCATGAGAGTGAATTGCGGGAACAACAATCAGGTAAACTTGTGTTCTCTCCTCTCTAAGTTTGATGTCAGCAAAGTTTGATGTTTTTCGGTCTTGCTAACCTAGCTGGGCAGGCAGTGCATCTCTTGCATCACTTTGTGCCTGACAAAAGTGAGAGTAAAATACAATTATTTATTACGTTTGATTTTGATAAACGACAAAGTGCAACGGTGTTTGTTTACTGCAGCTCGGAAAACATAACCACGTCGTGTGTGTTATCGTGCGTTCAAATGCGCGTGCACGAAATGAAACTCGCATTTTTCAAGCAGAAATATGTGGAGACCAGACATACTGTACAATACATGCACGTGAATGATGGCACTCCCAATCAAAGTACACATTATACTTTTAAAACAAGACACTGATTATCTAGTCTCAGTGTAGTTAAAAACTCTAAACAACTGCACTAATTATGCAAGATAGAAAGCAATGTATTGACAATTTGACATTGATTGACTATTGATTTATAGGCTATATTGAATTAAAAATGTTGATTAGCTGGACATACTGGTCAATATGGATGCACATCCCTCAGTAAATAATAACCATAAATCAAGAATTGCTTCAACATGCATAATAAAAAATTAAAAAATCATACTGATGCCGAAAATGCCCAGGCTGTAGAAAGAACCAAAGTTAATCCCAAAAGCCAAAGCTCAGGGTTATAATTTATTATTTTCTTCTTATTTATGTTTACGTTAATATTCACTTACTTAATAATATTCACTTATTATCTTAACATTCTATAGAAAATACTCTATTCAATAAATATTGTGTGTTTGAACCTCATTCTGTTCTATATTGTTGTACTTATTCTTTGACTGTTTTGTTTAAAGGAGGGAGGATTGTATTGGGAGCGCTGAAGTGTCAGGTGTGACTGTGGCAATGGCAAATGGTTTACATAGCTCACGACATCACAGGTCAGTAGAGGGCCCCTTAGCAGAATTTTGCTTAGGGCCCCAGGGAGGTCAGGATCGGCACTGGGTGTAGCAGTCGATTCTGTTCCTTACTGGAATTCCTGTTCCCTTTACGCAATCATACTACAAATCATGCGTAGTCGCCCAGATGAGCAAAAAGCACAATTGACTGTACGGGAAGCCAAAAGGTTAAAAAAGGATTGTATTTTTTCCGAAATCTAAGCGTTTTTTTTATTTTTATTAGAAGCGAGTTTTTCCGCATCTGTCAATTCAATCCAGATTATTTATTTAAAAAAAATAAAAATAATAATAATAATAATTAAAAAACAATAAACAATAATATGAGGAACTCTTTTTCTCATGTGTATTTTGGTGACATTTAACATATTGTTAATACATTTTGTATACTGTTTACAAAGTTGTATATCATAAACCTGTCATCTTTGACGTTTGCAATCTTTATAAATAATAATAAGACCATAATATGAGGCATTGCGTTTGGACATAAACACGATCAGATAAGGCAATTTGTATGGGCAAAATTCAACTGAATATATTCCTTCATATAGCCCGTGAGTTTTGGGGGTAGTGCCCTTTTTTCAGGTCAGAGCAACTGCCCCACAAAATTCCTGTGCACGTCCCTGCTTTAAAGATTACAAGGTCAAACAAATTATATACACTAATGAATCGTTCACAATAAGACCAGTAAAATGCATTAACAAAAAAAGGTCAGTTTGGTCTTTTAATGCCACTATTTGTTTTAAAATAGTTGATTTCTCAATGTCACTTACAGCATTGTTTTGCATGTAATGTAGGTGCACAATGTTTCATTTTCCTTTGAACTGATGCAAGATGGCGATTTGGAGAAGCCAAAGCCCAGGCCAGAAGGTGAGATTAAAGTTTTCTCTCAGCGTCTTGCAATCCTTGTAATGAATAATATGCTCCACGCTGCTTGATTTCTAAGGAACAGTCATGACATGATGCCTGATTGCAGGAGTTTATTGTAGAAGAGTTGCCATGTGTATCAGTTGAATTGATCTCCTCTACTGTTGCTGTTGAACTACTTGAATGAGAAGCTAATCAACAGATGGGGCTGGAGTTGTGCTGTGGTTGCTTTACTCGAAGGCTTTGTTTAATGCCTCAATCGCATGCTGCATTCACAATTGCATTTTCATTTCACTGCAACGGAGTTCCTCTGTGTAATCACAAGGCTTAAACAACATCTGGTTAATGTGGCGCAGACGATCTAACTGAGAATATGCCTTATGGGCGGCTGTTACTAAATGAGGTTTAATGCAAAATACATTGACACCATGAAATGTGTTGCTGTTCATTATTAGTGGTGATTTCTAAGGCAAGCATATTTATTTTTCATTGCAGGGTGAGAGATTAATATATAGCTTGTGACCAGGACATGATATTGATGTGGGTGTGGGCTTTTTTTACTTAGCAACACCCTAACAACCACTTAGCATCCCTTGTGTACAAGTGTGCTTAATTGTATTGAATGTGCACATGTAGTGTACTTAAAGAGAGTATACTTTCTTGACCACGTTACATAATACACTTATAAAGTGCAATGTCAAATGAAATTTTTTTTGTCGTTTTTATTGCATTGTTTGCATTACTCTAGAGTGAAAATCATTCATTTTAGAAGCAACACTTGCCATTAGCAGTTGAGGTGTCAGGTATGTTGAGAGAGAGGAAAGATTATGTTTTATATTGAAATGAACAGTCATACCTCAGTCATGTTCAGATCTTTTATGTGTCTCCTCAGACATTGTCAACTGTGACCTCAAGTCCACGTTGAGGGTCCTCTACAATCTCTTCACCAAGTACAGGAATGTGTAGTGACAGAGAAGCAGCGAAACGGCTTGATTTAATAAAGCCAAAATGCTCAGTACATCACATCCTTATCAGTATTATATTGCTGTTGTATTTTTTTTCTATTTCTTTTATGTTTGAAATTGAGCATATACGTATATTTATTCAGTCTGAAAGATATTTAACAATCACATTCCGTTGACCTATTTATATAATATTAATATAATATTTTATGATGAATATGGCAATGGACATATGGAAATAATGCACAATACTGTGATACTGTAAATGTATTTTGTTTGTTGTCAAGAGTCACTTTGGATTATTTGGCTTCATCTATCAAATGCATTTAAATATATGAAGTATTTTCTTTTTATGATAGCAGATACAAGATATAATAGAAATGTAACCTATTCTTTTAAAATGGATTTAGAACAATTAGGCTGTGGGAGATTTATATTGGTGCATGAAGATGTTTGCTAGATTAAGAAAGTAGCATGGGCATTCAATTAAAATAGATTCAATTAAAAGGACGCTGAAATTGTTTTTGCACTGTAGAGGTTTAAAGTCACCATGAAATCAAATTGGACCATTTTTATATTTTTATGGAATATGTAGTTTTTATTATTAAACATTTAAACATTTACTTATGTTTCCTCATAATTTTGAATCATAATAACTTCCCTCCCTCTTGCAGCATCTCTTCTCTTCTCTGATGACGAGGGCGGGGCAACCTGTCACTCACATGAGATCCACCAATAGCAAACCACAACCATCCAATCAATTCCCCAATGGACACAATCAAGTCCCGTCCTACATTTTTTTTTTGTTCGAGAAGTGAAACAAAACCACAATATGAATAAAAAAAAAAATAAAAAATAAAAAAATCAACTAAACAATTACATTTGCAAAAAGCACATACATTTACTGTAAACAATTATAGTTCTGACAACATGTTTTTACAGTGCTTTAACTCTTCAAAATAAGTTAAGCAATTTTCAACTTTTTCTTTATAAGTTATACAAGATTCAACTATTTTTTTTTAAAGGCAGTTTAATGTAATTTAGGTTGAAATGACTTAAACATCCAAGTTGATTGTATTTAAAAATCGAAGGCAGCAACTTTTCTTTCTTTGTTTTTACAGCGTTGAATAAGTCTAAAATACAAAATAATGAGCTAAATTAGGATTAGTAGGCCTAAAGATCAATTTCCAAAAGGATAAACATAAAGTAACTTTTTTTTAAAGCTGTTTGTACAGTATAGTCACAGTTTGTGAAAAGAAAATGGTACATTTTATTTAAAAATGTTAAAAATAATGGTTAATACAGTTTTATTTACAGTGGTGTGAATAAGTTATTACCCCCATGCTAAAGTTGCCTAAAAAGAGGAATAAAAAATCATCTTTTGGAAATTGATCTTAATGCCTTAATTAGAAAAATGCGGAAAAATCCAAACTTTAAGGACACCAATTTTCTTTGTGTATGAATAATGTATCATAAATAAATAAATGTTCTTCCTTAAAATACAGGGTGCATAAGCCCCCCTATGTTAAATTCCCATAGAGTCAGGCAGATTTTTATTTTTAAAGGCCAGTTATTTCATGGATCCAGGATAATATGCATCCTGATAAAGTTCCCTTGGCCTTTGGAATTAAAATAGACCCACATCATCACACACCCTTCACCACACCTAGAGATTGGCATGGGGTACTTTCCATAAGATCATCTTTCAATGCAAATCAAACCAGCTATTAGGCTAACTGAAATAACACCATGCCAATCTCTAGGTATGGTGAAGGGAATGTGATGATGTGGGGATATTTTAATTCCAAAGGCCAAGGGAACTTTATCAGGATGCATATTATCCTGGATCCATGAAATAACTGGCTTTTAAAAATAAAAATCTGCCTGACTCTATGGGAATTTAACATAGGGGGGGCCTGACTTATGCACCCTGTATTTTAAGGAAGAACATTTATTTATTTATGATACATTATTCATACACAAAGAAAATTGGTGTCCTTAAAGGTTGGATTTTTCCGCATTTTTCTAATTAAGGCATTAAGATCAATTTCCAAAAGATGATTTTTTATTCCTCTTTTTAGGTAACTTTAGCATGGGGGTAATAACTTATTCACACCACTGTATCATATGTTCTTTTTGTTATATGTTTTTGTAACGTTTTAAACGGTTTTGATATTTTTACTATTTGCAATGGTTACTTTTTACTATTTTTATAAGTGTGATTTTTGGAATTTAATTGTTTTAAAATCAATTTGGGTCAGTTTGACCTTCAAACATCATAATAGTTCTTTCAGTCATGACAACTCTTGAATTGAATTATTTCAAACCTCATTTATTGGCACGGGGCACGGATACATAAGCTTGATTTTGATGGACGAGATCTGCTGTATGGTTACATGAAATACTTCTGATTGGCGTTGGAAGAACCAATCAGTGTGTGTAACTTGTTAAGAGTTTCATGATTGAACTGTGTATTAAATATTATATTGAACCCACAACAATTAAAAAACAAAAGCATACAAACATTTATTGTCAATGTTTTCAATTAATTTCAATATTCAGCTGTATACATTCAGGCGGTCACATTAGCGATATTTCAGCAAAGTCTCGAAAAGGTCAAAAAAGGTCATTTGTCGATATAAAGTGGCGGTTTATAAAAAAGCACAGCTCACACAAAAGCCACTTTCTGTTTTCAAGCAACTTTCTGTTGATCAATGCAGCAAATTCGTGTGACCGTGAAGTTGAACATGGGAATTTTTTCACCAAATTAAGGCCTTGTCCACACGGACACGGGTATTTTTATAACCGGAGTTTTTCCTACAGCGTTTAAAAAAAAAATCCCGTCCACACATGCTCGGTCTCCGTCTACATGAAAACGCAAAAACACGCTATCAAGCGCGGTCAAGAGCATGCCACGCCAGCAGGCGGCGATATAAACCTTAACCGTAAAGCCACGTTGGCCAATCAGAAGCGCAAATCTGACGTCAAACACAGCGGATAACGGCGCACACTCTGACGTCGCAAGGCAAAAACCCCGGTTTCACTGTCTACACGACAACACTGTAACCGGCGTTTCTGAAAATCCTCACCCTGGCAGGGGTTTTCAAAAATGTTCGGTTTCAGTGCGTTTTCCTGTGGACGAACGGTCGAACCGCGTAAAAAAAGTCACGGTTATATAAATACCCGTGTCCGTGTGGACAGGGCCTTACAGTAATGGCTTGATTGGTTTAGGGTAACGATTGCATGTTACCACTTTTAACAGTGTATAGGCCTGTTCACACCGGGACGAATTTCGCGCGCGTTATTCGCCGACGTTTAACGCCTCGTGACTAAACAAAGGGTGCCTATGTGAGTGTGCACACCGACACGAGAAACGCCACGCGTAAAAGCGTCATTTTTTAAAAAACGCCTCGGGTTCGTTTTTTTGATTTGACGCGCTGCGTCAAAAACTATCCGACCAATGAGATTGGCGCTTCTGCTCACGTGTCTGGAGCATCTGAAGTTACAGTAAAACACAACTTGGGGGCGCTCAAACACAAAACGGTCTTGCCGAGCACACATACGTAACGGCAAAGAAGATATACGCCAAGTTGCGTCTACACTGCCAGGAAGAAATAAGACGAGGAAGATGCAAGGCAAGATGAATGTAGAGCTGCTGGTCTCGTTGGTGTCGGAACATAAAGAACTATATGACAAACGCGACAGCGACTACAAAAATCTTGATAAAAGACAATGTTATGGAGTGGTATTGCAGAGCAAATGGGCGCCATCTAATGTCAGGGAATGAATTTGCATGTTCACTCGGCTCATCGTCAGCGAAAATCGCTTGGGTGTGAACACAAAAAACGCGTTGAAAAACGCTGCCGAATAACGCGCGCCGATATTCGTCCCGGTGTGTACGAGCCTTATGAGTGGAGAGAAAGAAAGGTCCAGTGCAATAATTTCACAGAAAGTCTCATAGTACTGACAAGCACAAAAGTAACGTATCAGTCCTAAAAATTTTAGGTTGTCTGTCTGTTGGTCCCTTTTTTCGTGAAGCTACTAAATTGCAGACCCGCATTACAGTCTGTCCGGGCATATGAAGTGTTTTTTTTTTTTTTTTAGTTCTCCCTATCATGTACTTTGGCTGGTGTTAAGTGCTGGTGTTTAATACGAAACGTGTGTTTAGTAGAGTCTGCAACAATTGCCTTTCGATAAACCTTTGTTCTGACGCATTCTCTGCCGCCCCATTATCACGAGAGGTAGGGGATTTAGTGGCAAGTGTGTCTTCATCACAGAAGAGCCTTTGAGAGCAGAAATAACAGAGAAGAACACCTGTGCAATCGAGCGTCCTGCGCGAAGGTGTCCTGAATTGTGGTGTCCCCACCATTAGCAACCCGCTGCAATTACCTTCCCCCGAGTTTCCTTCTTATCCCTCCCTTCATAATATCAAACAAGACCATGAGAGCGTTTCTGCTTCACCGAGCCAGAACCGCTGTTTACTCACAAATACAAAGGGGTGAGGCGAGGAGCCACGGAAATAGCTGCTAAATGCTTGACTCTCACTGGCCAAGCATCTGATCTGAGCTTCTATTGATTTGTGCTAAAGATCCTGGTCATTACGAGTAATTGATTCCAGCATCTAAGCAGTGTCTTTAGAGAATTATTAGAATGCCTCTGGCATTTATTCCCACCAGAGAGTGCTTTTGAAGCTTTTTACATGTTACGTTTTATTAGCAAAGGCTTGTGTTGGTAGAATAGAAATTGCAATGGGCTAGTGTTTACATTTTTTTTATTTTTATAAAATGGTTAGTTTAGGTTCTGTTTGGTGATTTAGGTAGCCTTGTGTAACACAACCTTTATTACTGAAGGCCTTGGCTCTGTTGAGTGCTGCTGGGATAAGGTATTTTTGTAGGTCAACATTTTAGCATTTCTGGTACCATCGTTCATGAGATCAATGGGTTTTTGCTAAAATAGGTTCTGTGGTCTAAAATACACTCACCTAAAGGATTATTAGGTGCACTCTTTTCAATTTCTCATTAATGCAATTATCTAATCAACCAATCACATGGCAGTTGCTTCAATGCATTTAGGGGTGTGGTCCTGGTCAAGACAATCTCCTGAACTCCAAACTGAATGTCAGAATGGGAAAGAAAGGTGATTTAAGCAATTTTGAGCGTGGCATGGTTGTTGGTGCCAGACGGGCCGGTCTGAGTATTTCACAATCTGCTCAGTTACTGGGATTTTCACGCACAACCATTTCTAGGGTTTACAAAGAATGGTGTGAAAAGGGAAAAACATCCAGTATGCGGCAGTCCTGTGGGCGAAAATGCCTTGTTGATGCTAGAGGTCAGAGGAGAATGGGCCGACTGATTCAAGCTGATAGAAGAGCAACTTTGACTGAAATAACCACTCGTTACAACCGAGGTATGAAGCAAAGCATTTGTGAAGCCACAACACCCACAACCTTGAGGCGGATGGGCTACAACAGCAGAAGACCCCACCGGGTACCACTCATCTCCACTACAAATAGGAAAAAGAGGCTACAATTTGCAAGACCTCACCAAAATTGGACAGTTGAAGACTGGAAAAATGTTGCCTGGTCTGATGAGTCTTGATTTCTGTTGAGACATTCAGATGGTAG